CAAAAAAAAAAAAAAAAGAAAAGAAAAGAAAAGAAAAATACTAAGTGTTTACAAGGATGTGAAAAATTGGAACCCTCATTTTTTTTTTTTTTTTTGTGAGACAGAGTGAGACTCTGTACTCCTAGGTAGAGTGCTGTGATGTCCTAGCTCACAGGAACATCAAAATCCTGGGCTCAAGTGATCCTTTTGCCTTAGCCTTCCAAGTAGCTGGGACTACAGGCACCCAGCGCCACATCCAGCTAATTTTTCTATTTTTAGTAGAGATGGGGTCACTCTCTTGCTGAGACTTTTCTTGGACTTCTGAGCTCAGGCAAGCCACCCATCTTGGAACTCTCATATATTAGGTTCAGACACTGTGCAGACACTGTGAAAAACAATCTGTTAGTTTTTTAAAAAGTTAAACATAGAGTTACCATATGACTCATAAATCAACTATATACCCAAGGGAATTGAAAACACTTGTCCACACAAAACCTTAATGAATACTCTAGCAGCATTATCCATCATAGCTGAAAAATAGATATAACTGAGATATTCATTAAGTGATGTGTATGGTAGATCTATACAATGGAATACCATTCAGCCATAAAAAGAATGAGGTACTGAGGCCGGGCGTGGTGACTCAAACCTGTAGTACCAGCACTTGGGAGGCTGAGGCAGGTGGATCACCTGAGCTCACAGGTTCAAGATCAGCCTGAGCCAGAGCGAGACCCTGTCTCTAAAAATAGCCAGGCATTGTGGCTGGTGCCTGTAGTCCAGATACTTGAGAGACCGAGGCAAGAGAATTGCATAAGGTTGCCGTGAGCTGTGATGCTACAGCACTCTACCAAGGGTGACAAAGTGAGATTCTGTCTCCAAAAAAAGAAAAAGAATGAAGTACTGACACATGCTACTCATGTAGCTGAAAGAAGCCAGTCACAGAAACATTAATTTACATGAAATGTCTAGACTAGGAAATCCATAGAGATAAAAAGTAGATTAGTTGTTGCCCAAGGCTAGGCAGAATGGCAGGTGACTGCAAAGGGGGTGTGGGGTGATGAAATGTTCTTTTTTTTTTTTTGGTTGCAGTCCTCATTGTTATTTGGCGGCCCTGGCTGGATTCGAACCTGCCAGATCCAGGTGTATGTGGCTGGCACCTTAGCCACTTGAGCCATAGGCATCAAGCCAAAATGTTCTATACTTACCTTGTGTTAACGGTTGCACAAATCTGTGAATACACTAAATATAAGGAATTGTATACGTTAAGTGGGTGAATTTTATGGTATTTAAATAATATTTCAATAGAGATGTTTTAAAAAATGAGGTAGAAAAACTGATTTTGTTTTGGCTGTGTTAATAAGTATACCACACTGGTGGCACCTGTAGCTCACGTGGCTAAGGTGCCAGCCACATACACCAGAGCTGGAGGTTCGAATCCAGCCCGGGCCTATCAAACAATGACAACTACAACCAAAAAAATAGCCGTGCATTGTGGCGGGTGCCTGTAGTCCCAGCTAGTGGGAGGCTGAGGCAAGAGAATCGCTTAAGCCCAGGACTTGGAGGTTGCTGTGAGCTGTGACACCACAGCACTCTACCAAGGGTGACATAGTGAGACTCTGTCTCTAAAAAAAAAAAAAAATTCTTTTTCTCCCATTTACTTGAGCAATTATTTCACTAGTGTCTGCCTACTCCACTAGATGGTAAAGTTCTTCCAAGCCGGCTCTAAGTTTGCTCTCATTGCCTCTTCAGTACCCAGCAAAATGACTTGGCAGGTATATATTGGATGAATAACTCTCTCCATGAAGGTGGGCCCCAAGCTGAGTGGGATGTCAAGACTTCTGATAGACCTCAGACAGCTACACGTATAAGTCCCCAGAGCTGAGAATATCCATGTTCTGCCCTGATAGTTGCTCAGGATGAGGCGATGCCCGGAGAATTCCCAGGGCAAGACGGACACAGCATAATTTTAGCTGGCAGCCAGCTTCCGACTAGGAAGGAGGCGCCCGACTCTACGCCTGGGGGGATGTCTCAGTTTCCCCACTGGTGCTGCGGAGTACCCTTGTAGTCCTGGGTAGCCTCCCAGCCAGGTGCCCAGGGCTGCTTAGGCCTAGAACCTCAGGCTGAGCCGCCACAGGCCGCCTGGCCGGGCGAGGGCGCTCCACGTCCATCCTCCGGGGCCTGCGCACGCCACCGGGGCCCCTCTAGCGGGCAGGTGGTAGCGCGATGCGCGTCGGGAAGGCAGTGGGCGGTCCGGCCTTAGGCGGCGGAGGGCAGCATGGTGGGTGGCGAGGCGGCTGCCGCGGTTGAGGAACTGGTCTCAGGGGTGCGGCAGGCGACGGACTTCGCGGAGCAGTTTCGCTCCTACTCAGAGAGCGAGAAGCAATGGAAGGCCCGCATGGAATTCATCTTGCGCCACCTGCCCGACTACCGCGACCCGCCCGACGGCGGCGGCCGCCTGGACCAGCTGCTGTCCCTCTCTATGGTCTGGGCCAACCACCTCTTTCTGGGCTGCAGGTGCGGACCCCTGAGGCCGTCCGGTCCTATCTCTGCCGTCTGACCCACAGTCCTCCCAGGGCTCACCCCTGACCTAGACAGTGCCCCCGACCTTCATGCGCATTGGCCAGTCCGACGGGTGATTCCCGCCTCAGCAGCCCCTCTGAAAGATACTGAGCCTCAGTTTCCTTACTTGGTAAAATGGGTGGTTGTGATGTAATCAACAGTAATTAAAGGGTCAAGAGCTAAATACAAGATGGGCTCCAAAGTTGCTATTGCTATTTGTGTTTTTACTATTAGGTGAAACCACCATCATCTTTGCAGAGTGCATTTTAAGTCGGTTAGCTCCTTTAACCCACATGGCAGACATGTAAGGGACAATAGGTAATTTAACAAATGAAAAAACTGAGGGAAAGGAAGCGATGTACCTGGGAGCGATACAAACTTTTGGGAGGCTTGGTGGGTTTTACTACATATAGCAAGATGTACTCTGTTCTGTGGCTTTTTCTCCCCGCCCCCCACCTTCCTTGGTCCTGAGACCTTTATCTCTATCTGCCTTCCCATGAAAACTTAAGATACTTTTTTGTTTTTTTTGAGACAGAGTCTCACTATGTCATTCTCTGTAGAGTACTGTGTCGTCACAGCTCACTGCAACCTCCAACTCTTGGGCTTAAGCGATTCTCTTGCTTCAGCCTCCCAAGTAGCTGGGACTACAGGCGCCAGCCACAAACGCGCAGCTGTTTTGTTGTTGTTGCGGTTGTCATTGTTTAGCAGGCCTGGGCTGGGTTGGAACCTGCCAGCCGTGGTGTATGTGGCTGGTGCCCTAACCACTGTGTTAAGGGCGCGGTGCCTCAGATACCTTTTTGTCGAGGTTCCAAAGCCCAACTGCACCAAGAGGGCAGGGGCCTGCTTTTGAAGTACCTGATAAGAGGCTTTATTTTTTATTTTTATTTTTTTAAGAGAGTTCTTTTTTTTTTTTTTTAAGTATTTTATTTATTTATTTTGAGACAGAGTTTCACTATGTTGCCCTTGGTAAAGTGCTTTGGCGTCATAGCTCACAGCAACCTCAAACTCTTGGGCTTAAGCAATTCTCTCACCTCATCCTCCCAAGTAGCTGGGACTACAGGCGTCTGCCATAATGCCCAGCTATTTTTTGTTGCAGTTGTTGAGCTGGCCCAGGCCAGGTTCGAACACGCCACCTTCCACCTTCGGTGTCTGTGGCTGGTGCCATAACCACTGTGCTATAGGTGCTGAGCCATAAGAGGCTTTCTTTACCACAGTATGAAGAAGGTCGAAAATTGTGTTAGGAGAATAGGATGACTCTGTTTGCTTCTGGTTTCTCTACCTGTTATGGTTGTCTGACTCTGATCACATGACTCCTCTAGGCCTAAGCCACCAGGTTTTGTTTCAGATGTTGGGGCTTAGGATGTAGGGAAGCAGTGCCAGATGCACCCATCCCCCCTTTCCTTGCCTTCTTGGTGGTCCTGGGAAATCCCAATTAACAGGATTTGTGGTTAAGCAAGTGTCAGAGATTGGGCCAATGAACAATGTTATTTTCATTAGATCAACATTCTGCATGTTTAAAAAATAATCAAAAATATTTTTGGCCCTTATCTCATATCCAAGAATATGTACTTTTAGAGGTACAGTGCCTCTGCTTTTATAAATCTTGGAACATCTGTTCTGTTGGCATTCCTAAAGCCCACTTGTCTACAAGCAGGAAGAACTGTTTCCTAACCTTGTATTGAATATGTATGTTCTTTTGCAGGATCAAATGAGTCATCTGACAGGTTGCACTCCAGCAGCCTGGTATTTCTTATTTGTTTAGGTATCTACTTTTTGTTTAATAATCCTTTCTACAATTTTTACAGGAAAATATACTGGTTTTTAATTTTCAGAATTGACTTTTTTCTATTTTATACTTTTTCATTTGTTTCCAATGAAACAAATTTTTTTTATCTTCATGTGTTAACCCTTACATTTCTACGTTATTATTTAGTCCCTACACATGGATTTGTAAGACATCTAAGAGTTTAAACATTATTCCTGATCCTGTAATAGTTAATAAAATTTAATTAAAATTAATCCTAGAGCTGGAAACAGTGACATGGGCCTATAGTTCCAGCAACTTGGGAGGCTGAGGTGGAAAAACTTGAGCCTAGGAATTTGAGTTCAACCTGGGCAACATAGTGAGACCCTCATCTCTGAAAAGTGTATATAGCAGGGTAGCAACCAAAGTGAATCTGACCTCAACTGCCACAAGTACTTGGTTACTTACTCCTTTTATAACTGAATCATCGTCCAGTTTCAAACTCTAAACTTCACCTTGATACTTGGCCATTCCAGGTCTGAAACTAGGCTCAGTTTATGGTTCAGAATTCTTTGAACTGCCCGGAATATAGAATCACTCTGAGGCTGTATTTCCTATGCCCTGCAGAGGAGCTACCTCAATTCCTGGTGACAGGGGACAGAGACTTTTGGGGACTGCTCCCATCACCCCTCCAACCTGCAATTAATAATCCACAGTGGCAATTTTTCCAAAGTTTTTATCTTACTACTTTTTATTGTGCAGTTACAATAAACACCTTTTAGACAAGGTGATGGAAATGGCTGATGGGATTGAAGTGGAAGACCTGCCACAGTTTACTACCAGAAGTGAATTAATGAAAAAGGTAAATAGGATATCCATGCATGTAATGAAGTGGTATAGAGTTAATGGACCTTGCTTTGATCAAGACACTATATTAGAGTATATTATTTTTTGAATGCTTTTGTTTACCCTAAAGATCTAAACCCTTTCATTATTATTTCCCCATAAGTGGTTAAAAACTATTTTAGAATTTAAAGTCAGTATGATTAAAAAAAAAAAGTCAGTATGATAAATTATGCATTGTTGGTGAGCTATATAAACTTTGCCTCTTCAGATTGCCTAAGAACATTGTTTTGAGTTTTTTGCTTGATTATTAAGAAAATACTGGTTACAGTGCTAAAGTTTCCAACTTATTAAAAAAATCTTGTTAGTAAATGAGTAACTTATTCTCACCCCAAGAGGAGAGGACCTGACTAGACTTATTTGACATTTTTTGACTTGTTGATAGTAATGTAACTGAAATAATATCCGGATACTATAGCTGTTCTCTCTTCTTCAGGGCTTAGTCTCATCTCAGGTTATGAACTTTTTACACAGTGAACTCTTGCTTTCAGACTTCAGTCTGGACCTTGGAGTTGGGGCTATAGAGAGTGTGGCAGAAAGAAGCTCTGAGGGTGGGGCTGGGCATCCTAGGTACTTTTCAGAATCACTTTCCAGTTGTATTTTATCACATTTGTCCCAGTTCTTTCAAAGTTCCTTTTGTACTTTACTCAAGCATCTTTTAGAGCAGTTGTGACCTTGAGGGAAGAGATGGTGCCTAAAATTTTTAGCCTTTACAACTCTAAAACCTAGTATAGTCATATCATAGAGAAGATACTCAGAAAATACTTAAAAATAGACCATGACAGTAGAGTATAAAGCTGGGAGCCCTTTTCAGTTCTACCTCCAGAAACATAGGTAAGCCTTTGTTTTACTCCAGTTGGGCTTATTTGGGGAGGCAGGGCACATCAGGAGGTCCCCTCAGATACTCATCTATCAGTCCTAAACAGCACATCCGACTTGATTTCAGATGGTTTGTTTTCCTTTTTTTTTTTTTGAGAGTCTCACTTGGTCACCCTCAGTAGAGAGCTGTGACATCATAGTTTACAGCAACCTCAAACTCTTGAGCTCAAGTGAGTCTCTTGTCTCAGCCTCCTGAGGAGCTGGGACTAGGCATCTGCCACAGTGCCCAGCTATTTTTAGAGATAAAAATTGCTCTGGCTCTGGCTGGTCTCGAACCTGAGAGTTCAGGCAAACCTTCTCCCAGATTCTTGGGATTATAGGCATGAGCCACTGTGCCCAGCTGGTTTGTTTTCCTTAAAAAAATTTTTTTTAGTTTTTAATCTGAACCTGTAGTTAAAACCTTTAGGTTGGTATTTCAGACACTATTTTTTTTTTTTTTTTGGCCTGGGCTGGGTTTGAACCTACCACCTCTGGCATATGGGGCCAGCACCCTACTCCTTTGAGCCACAGTCACCACCCTATTTGTTTTTTTTTTTCAGATAGAGTCTTACTCTGTTACCCAGGCTAGAATGCCATGTCATTAGTCTAGTGCACAGCAACCTTAAACTCCTGGGTTCTGTGGCTCCTGCCTCAGCCTCATGAGTAGCTGTCACTTACAGGCACCTGCCAAGACACCTGGCTAATTTTTCTGTTCTTAGTAGAAATGGGGTCTTGCTCTTGCTCAGGCTGGTCTCAAACTCCTGAGCTCAAGGGATCCTCCTGCCTTGGCCTCCCATATTGTTAGGATTACAGGCATGAGCCACTGTGCCATGGGGACACTATTTTGTTTTTTAAATAAGCTGTTAAAAGGGAGTTACTATTTTCAGCCTGGAAGCAAAGTCAATTGAAAGTCTGTGGCTTTTTGTCTGCTCTTATTGTAATAGTTAAATAAAAAAATCCCTGGGTAATCCATGTGTGTCCCAGAGTAGTGAGGTTCCTGGGGCCCAACCAGAGAGGGACTAGGTAATTGTTGGTTGCCAGAGTGTACCGCATGGCGCAGGAGCAGTGATTAAGGCAAGCCTTCATTTCCTAACTCCTTGTGGCATACTCTTTCCTCATATCCTTTCCTCTTTTGGTTCCTCAGTGGTTTTCAGCTTTCCCTCACATCCTGCGGACTATTAGAGATCAGAACATTTTGTGACATTTGGGCTGTAGACCCCAGGAAGAAACTAAGATTTGGCATATCTCAGACATATCCATAGAACAGTGTAAAGAAGTGCGTGTGTTTTGGGAAGGGTTTGTCTAAACTGTTAAATCCATTAAAAATTTTCATACCTCAAAAATAAGGAACCTTAGAATCTCAACTAAGAATGTTTACTGGTATTATCATTGTGTAGTTTCAGCCTCCAGGGAAGAGTCCTCAGGGATGAAGTTAGCATCCCTGAAAACCAGTGCTAATCGTAAGCAGTTAAGCTATGTGTAAGAAGTCCCTACATAGCATTTTTGGATTATATGTCTTGCAACTTCCTTTAAATAAAACTTCTTTTCTTAGTAACCAGGTATTTTTGGTTTTTTGTTTGTTTTGAGACAGTCTCAAGTTGTTGCCCTGGGTAAAGTGCTGTGGCATCATAGCTCACAGTAACCTCTAACTTGGGCTCAAGGGATCCTTTTGCCTCAGTTTTTCCATTTTTCAGTGGAGAAGGGGTCTCAATTTTGATCAGGCTGGTCTCAAACTGATGACCTCAAGCAATCCACCTAACTCAGCCTCCCAGAGTGTTAGAATTACAGGCGTGAGCCATCTCCCAACCAGGTTTAATTTTTCTTTTCTTTTTTGGAGATAGAGTCTTGCTATGTTGCCCTTGGTAGTGTGCCATGGCGTCACAGCTCACAGCAACCTCAAACTCTTGGGCTTACGCAATTCTCTTGCCTTAGCCTCCCAAGTAGCTAGGACTACAGGCGCCCGCCACAATGCCTGGCTATTTTTGGTTACAGTTGTCATTGTTGTTTTAGCAGGCCTGGCCCTGGCTCGAACCCTGCAGCTTTGGTGTATGTGGCTGGTACCCTGCTCCCTGAGCTACAAGCACCAAGCCTAGATTTAACTTTAGACTGTTGATGCCACTGAAAAGGAAATTCAGCTGATCCTGAAAAATGAGATACTAAGAGGGTGCATAGAGTTTTGTCAGTTGTTATGACTCTTCTAGATAAACCCATCCAGAGAATGAATTATTAGATCTGTGTGCCATGACAGATTGTGTGATATTGAAGGCTGTCCCCTCTCCATTGAAGGACACCCCAAGAACCTACTGTTCAGTGAGTTGTGAGTACTTTGTAGTAGTAGTTTTGTCCCTTGCCTGGATTTTTTGCATTTGGCTGGCAAACATTAGGCAACAGAGGAGAAAAACTCTTATGTCAAACCATACACCTGATAATATTGTTCTTTCTAGAATTGATCCTTAACTCTAAAATGAAGAGTTTGTTTGGATTTTAAAGCTAGCTACCAAGTGGAAATGAATTGCCTGCGTTGTGGGTATCTCAAGACCAAAGAGTGATGAAAACTTGGGAGATAGACATAGTTTATTAAAGTAGGATTTTTAAGATACTTTATGGCTATTCCGCAGCTTTGAGGCAAGTACATCTCTGATCTAACTTTTTTTTTTCAGTCTTAGAAAAACATAAGCTTTGGTCTTAGGTGAGATTTGTCAAGATTGCTGCACTGTAAGATTTTTTTCTTTGGAAAAAGGGGGATTCAAACAGATTGAATGTATTGAGTCAACAATCTTGATTATCTAACTGCTGTCCTAGGCACCTGCTAGCAGCCTTTGTGGCTGTGCAGCTTAACTTTTAATGAGTGATAATTAACAAAGAACAACGGCTAACTCAGGAAAGGTGTCATCACTATGACTGTCAGAGTTAATATTTCCAAGGTAATGTCTTAATCAAAGAGAAAGAGGAGTAATTGACCAGGAAACTATCATTATTGACTCAAAGAAAGAAGCTGTCAACCTAATTACTTGGTCCATTTTTCCAAGAATATTTTTATCCCAAGAGGGAAAATGGCAGCATGAAAAATGACTATGAAATGTGAAAAGAAAGTTAGAAAAGCAAGTTGTCCACATTTCATTCTTTTTGTACATTATGTTCAGTCTTGGCAAGCTCTGAGGTAATGGAGCTTCCATTTTTTTAGTGGAAAAAGCTGTGTTTCTAAGGAGGCAAGTGTTGGTTATTTTAAAAATTCAACTTGTTTGGCCAGGTGGTGTGGTGGCTTACCCCTGTAGTCCCAGCTACTTGAGAGACTGAGGCAAGAAGATCACCTGAGCCCAAGAGTTTGAGGTTGCTGTGAGCTGTGATGATGGCACAACACTCAACTCAGGGTGACAGAGTGAGACTCGTCTCAAAAAAAAAAAAAAATTCAACTTGTCAGATTAATTAAATCAGAAGAGGTCTTATATCCCAAGATACATGCTCAGTAGAGGTACTTATCTTTTGCTCTTCACCCACTCTGAAATAGAAGCCAGAAAAGCTGTGTCCAACCCTACCGACCAGTTTTATCTGATGTACAGAATGAGTTGAGTGGATCACCTGTTGTCAGCACCTTTCAGAAAAGACTACTTGGTAGCAGCCCAAACCAATGGCACTTGTGTGTCTCTCAGTGTTGGTCTATCCCATTGGAACTTTGACAGGAGGCTTAGAAGATTTTTTTCTCTTTGGACATAATACGGTTTCTTTTTCTTTCTTTCTTTCTTTCTTTTTTTTTTTTTTTTAAGACATTTATATTTATTTATTTATTTTTGCAGTTTTGGGCCAGGGCTGGGTTTGAACTCGCCATCTCCAGTATATGAGGCTGGTGCCCTACTCCTTTGAGCCATAGACACTGCCCGTAAGATGGTTTCTTTAGGTGATGTTACATTCTTCTAAATGGAGAAAGACTTCTTATATTTTGCTTTTGCTGAGTAATTTTATTTTTTCATCTGAAAAAGACTGGCTTAAATAGGAAATAGGTCATACCTTGAAATCTCTAATTACTAAAAAGACTCACAGATTGATTCACTCACACTGCTAAATGTTAAGGAAATTCATTCAAATACAAGGTGACAGCCAAAGTGATTTCTTAACACCCTGCTTCAAAGTTGTCTAAAGCCAAGTTTAAATTTACCAAAGGTGCTAGAAAGTACCCAGAAAGAATATATCCACTTCATTTTACCACTATTTGAAGACGTGCTTTTACAGTTTCTAATAGTGTGAAATCCAGAAATATATAACCTTCACATATCCTAAATAATCCTGACTCAATGTGAAATGTTGTGAATTACTACCTGAATCTGACTGGTTTTAATTTAGAACAATAAGTGTTTGCATGAGTCTGCTTTTAGAAGTGTTGACTGTAGAGCATGCCAGGAAAAGTTGTATTTTAAGTATTTCCATTATCACCTTAAATTGTGAACATTTATAGATCACAAATGACAAGACAAGAAAAGTAGGTTCTGGCCTCCAAATGGATGATGAGGGTTTTTTTTGCTGAATTTTAAAATATTAATAATTTCTGAGTATACTTACCATTGGGTTAGACATAAATACTGCATCACTGCTATATTTTAATTTATGAAGATGAATTTGAATCCATGAATTTACTGGATTACATGGTTACATAACCTTTTCTTTTTTTCCCCCAGCATCGTAGCTAAGGCAGAAGATTTATCCCATTTTCATCACCATCTACAGGCTTAGAAAAGAGGCTGGGATGAACGTGAAACAGACCACAGTAGCTCTCTTAAGACTCCTGGTATTACCAACAGAAAGAGGCAGGTGGGATGAGGAGGAATCTGTCTAGCTAGGCTTTTAACAAGTGATCATTCTTCCAGTAGCTGTCACCGTAAAAATGTGCATGGATATTTATGTATTTATAAATCATCAACATTGTAAAAGCCTCTTTTGTATTTTCAGTTGTTAAATGTCAAACTTTTTCTTTAAAATGATCTTTTTTTGTTGATGTGATAATGGCAGGTCATGAATTTTACAGTTTGGATTTTTCAACAATTTAAGTGTGATTCTGTTTTATGGCCTTTTATTTTCCCCACCACGGCATACTAGATCCTTTATTTCCTTATTTCCACCTGAAATTTATACTATACCTATATCCTACTACCACACATACTAATCTTTTTTTGAGAAATGAGAATTGAATTACAGACATGAGGTAACCACCAACTCATTGGAAGAGGCAAGGGCAGCCTACAAGGGGTTTTATTTTATTATTATTTTGAGGCAGAGTCTCTGTCACCCTGAGCAGAGAGTGTGGCATCATAGCTCACAGCAACATCAGACTCTTGGGCTTGAGCAGTCCTTTTGCTTCAGCCTTCTTGAGTAGCTGGGACTACAGGTGTATGCCAGTACACCCTGCTAGTTTTTCTATTTTTATTAGAGATGGGGTCTCATTCTTGCTCAGGCTGGTCTTAAACTCCTGAGTTCAAGCAGTCTACCCACTTCAGCCTCCCAGAGTGCTAGGATTACAGGCGTGAGCTACCCCACGTGGTAAAAAGGCTTTATTTTAGGACTCATTGACAGGTCTAGGGCTGTATCTAGCCAGCCAGCTGATTTGTAGGTTTAAACGATTGCCTATAATGTTTTTTTCCTGGATGGAGCCTGAGGCTTGGATCTTACAGACTTGAGGAATTGCCTTGCACATGGTCTCTTAAAAAAATCCTTATAGTGCAACCCTGCTTTGTTCTGAAGTTTTGATATTAATGTTCCCCCTTAACTGTGTATGTGTATCTGTTCTGTACCTCCTCCTCTAGTCCACTTTTTTACTTAGTCTTATGTGTATCTGTTCTGTACCCCCTCCTCTAGTCCACTTTCTTTCTTAGTCTCCACTATTAAGTACATAGCTATAGGCATAAATGCTGGGGTAGTGCTTCATTTAGAAAGCAATAATTTAATGGTTTGTCACAGCAGGATTTACTCATCAGTGGGAGGCTCTGTGCTTGGTACTGGCAATAGTGACAATTAAGTTAGTGGACCCTGCCTTAATTTGCTGGTGAATATAAGTAATTGAACAACCAGACTTGCTTAAAAACAGCTGGGTGGGAGAGCATGGTGTCTGGGGGCAGAGAAGTGGGACAAAAAGTGGCACCCCTTGGATGAGTCACATCTTTGTATGGCTTCTATAGCTCCAGTGTCCCTAGTGACCACTGGATGGACTGAATGAAGAAGTCTAGATCTGTGATCTGTAAACTTAGATAAGCTACTTCTTTTCTTTTTTTTTTTTTTTTGAGACAGAGCCTCAAGCTGTCCCCGTGGGTAGAGTGCTGTGGTATCACAGCAACCTCCAACCCCTGGGCTCAAGCGAGTCTCCTGCTTCAGCCTCCCAAGTAGCTGGAATCATAGGCGCCTGTCACAATGCCTGGCTATTTTGGGGTTGCAGCTGTCATTGTCGTTTGGCGGGCCCGGGCTGGATTCGAACCCGCCACCTTAGGTGTATGTGCCTGGTGCCTTAGCCATTTGAGCCACAGGTGCCGATAAGCTACTTCTTTTCCTTCATCCTTATTTGGAAAATGGAGGTCACAGAAATACCTACCACAGGGCAGCACCTGTGGCTTGGAAGGTAGGGTGCTGGCCCTATATATCAAGGGTGGTGGGTTCAAACTTGACCAAACTGCAACAACAAAAAAATAGTTGGGCATTGTGGTAGGTACCCGTAGCCCCAGCTACTTGGGAGATAGAGGCAAGAGAATCACCTAAGCCCAGGAGTTGGAGGTTGCTGTGATGCCACGGCACTCTACCTCTACCGAGGGCGATAGGCTGAGACTCTTAAAAAAAAAAAAAAAAGTAAAAGAAATAACCTACCACAGAGAGCTGGGGGCAAGGATTAAGACAGCAGAAGTTAGAGGGCCAGGTACCATGTTAATTGAGTCCCTTCTATTCCTCAAATGTATCTTTTTTCCTTTCTGATTATTTGACAAACTTGTGAGGCTTAAAAAATGAAATTATAAAATAGGTGCAGTGGCTCATGCTGGTAATCTTAATAGTTTGGGAGGCCAAGGTGGGAGGATCACTTGAATTTAGGAGTTTGCTACCAGCCTGAGCAACATTGTCAATTCTATTTTTTTTTTTTTGAGACAGAGTCTTACATTCACCTTTGGTAGAGTGCTATGGCATCAGCTCACAGCAACCTCATAGTCTTGGGCTCAAGTGATCCTCTTGTCTCAGCCACCTAAGTAGCTGGGATTATAGGTGTCTGCCACAATGCCCAGCTATTTTTAGAGATGGGGTCTTGCTCTTGCTCAGGCTGGTTTTGAACTCCTAAGCTCCAGAGATTCACCTGCCTTGGCCTCCTAAAGTGCTGAGATTACAGGCATGAACCACTGCATCTGGCCTTTTTTTTTTCTTTTAGACAGAGTCACTCAGTGGGCCTGAGAGTGCAGTTGTATAGTACCTCACAGCAACTTCAAACTCCTGGGCTCAAGTGATCCTTCTTGCCTCAGCCTCCAGAGTAGCTGGGACTACAGGCGCCCACCACCACACCTGGCTAGTTTTTCTGGTTTTAGTAGAGAAGTGGGTCTCACCCTTGCTTAGGCTGGGCTCGAACTCCTGATCTCAACCTGTAAACCCACCTCTGCTTCCCAGACTGCAAAGATAACAGGCAAGAGCCACCATACCTAGCAATTCTATTTTCTTTATATGATATGATGTCCCAATAAAATAATGGCCTTTTAGGAATGCAACCATTGCATGAAGCAGGTTTAAGTTGTGTAATGATTTTTTCCCAATAACCTTCAGTTTTGTTTTTTTTTTTCAAAACTTCTCTGGTTCAGTTATTTTCCTTTTTTTCCTTTGTTTAAATGAGGTCTGTCAACTAGGCTAGAGTGCAAGTGGCATGATTATAGCTCACTGCAACCTAAAATTCCTGGGCTCAAGCGTCGTGGGTAGCTGGGACTACAAGCACATGTTGTGGTGACTGGCTCATTTAAAATTTTGTTTGTAGAAATGGGGTTTCTCTAGTTGTCCAGCCTGGGCTCAAACTCCCAGCCTCAAGTGATCCTCCTACTTTGGCCTACCAAAGTGCTGACATTAAAGGTGTGAAAACTAAAGGTCTTTAGTTTTCTAATGGATTTTCTCTCATTTCCTCACTCAAACTGCCTGCTTTTCTTTTCATCTTTTACAACCTCTGTGGCTATCTCACATACAAAATGAACCAGTATTTTAGAATTTCATCCTTTATTTCTGGAATAGAAAGTGGTAAAGAATCCAAAGTTTTGCATTGCAGCACTTCTTGTATAGGTAAAATAGGCCACTATTAACCCTGAAGTAAGTTCACACCGCCATAAAAGCAGCTCTTTTTTTTTTTTTTTTTTTTTGGTAGAAACACAGTCTCACTTTATCGCCTGGGCGTCACACAGCTCACAGCAACCTCCAACTCCTGGGCTTAGGGGATTCTCCTGCCTCAGCCTCCCAAGTAGCTGGGACTACAGGCACCTACCACAATGCCTGGCTTTTGTTGTTGCAGTTTGGCCGGGGCTGGGTTTGAACCCGCCACCCTCGGTATTATGGCGCCAGTGCCCTACCCACTGAGCCACAGGCACCACCCAAAGCTGCACATTTCTTTCTTTTTTTTGAGATGGAGCCTCAAGCCATCCCCCTGGATAGAGTGCCATGGCATCATGCTCACAGCAACTTCCAACTCCTGGGCTCAAGCGAGTCTCCTGCCTCAGCCTCCCAAGTAGCTGGGACTACAGGTGCCCGCCACAACGCCTGGCCATTTTTTGGTTGCAGCCATCATTGTTGTTTGGTAGGCCCGGGCTGGGGATTCGAACCCGCCACCTTAGGTGTATGTGGCTGGCGCCTTAGCTGCTTGAGCCACAGGCGCCGAGCCAGCTGCACATTTCTTAACCATATATGTATATAGAGAGAGAGCCCTTTTCAAGACATGGGGTAACATCATAGGAAGGAACAAATAATTACCAGGAGATCTTTTCTATTAAAGACATATGTCTCAGGCATTGTGAGGCCAAATATTTAGTATAGTTAAGCATTCTGTGTTAACAGTGATGCTCTCATATTACCCAAATACCTAGAAAAGAGCTTAAGAGTCTGGCCCACCTGATCAGTCCTCCACCTTATGAGAGGTAAGAATTCCCTATGAACTTTTCTAGCATCCATTTGGACCAGTAGCTTATCTATGGCCACTGGGAGGAATCACATTAAGTATCTTTGCCCATGTACTGATGCTTTGTAATCTGTAGTAAAATATGTATTGTGTTATGTGATATGCGAGTACCCTAAACGTCAGCTAAGTTGGTGCTGCCGAGTTCTCTAGCTTTAACGGGTCTCTGCTAGGTACCCATATGTTTTGAAGGAGAGCATCAGACTTTTGGTGTTGAGCAGCCTTTGTGCCCTGTGACATCCAGTCATGGCTTTCGTTCTTTTTTTTTTTGAGAATCTCAAGCTGTCTCCTTAGGAAAAGTAATGTGGCGTCACAGCTCACAGCAACCTCAAACTCTTGAGCTTAAGCAATTTTCTTGCCTCAGTGTCCCAAGTAGCTGGGACTACAAGTGCCTACCACAATGCTTGGCTATTTCTTTGTTGTAGTTGTCATGTTGTTTTAGCTGCCACAGGCTGGGTTCAAACCCACCAGCCTCAGTATATGTGGCTGGTGCCCTACCGACTGAGCTACGGGCACAGCCTCTTATTTTTCATTTTGAGATCACTCTATTGCCCAAGGTAGAGTGCATTGGTGTCATCATAGCTCAGTGCAACCTCAAACTCCTGGGCTCAAGCAATACTTCTGCCTCAGCCTCCAGAGTAGCTAGAACTATAGGT